GTCCGTTGAGGAGCACGCGGGCGGCCAGAAAGTTGCGACTCATTTCCAGGACCACGTTCTTCCAGGGCCAGTTTCCTTCATGCTGCATGTGGTGCGCGCAGGCATTCTGTGGCGCTCGCATGCATATTGTGGTGCGCGCAGGCGTTACGACCGAACCTTGTTACAAGGGTCACTGGTGCGCGGGAGCGCTGCGGTGGTGCCAGGGGCGCGGCATTCCCGCAGGGAAGGGCGTAACGTAATTCGGGTGTTCAGTCCCCTTGGCTTTCTTTGGTAGCTAGAACTGTCCTGCTCTCGGGCGGCGCTGAGCCCATTGGATCAAGTACAGTTTGGGCCAAGCAGCTCCACCTAGTGTGCCTCTAGCTGGGCTTAGTCTCTTCCGAGTACTGGCCCCGCCTCGTCTTCCTCTCCCCATTCTCCTCCTCTTCCCCGTCGGGTGCGGCCTTTTGTTTGGGGAAGCTGCTATTCTTCGTACCTCGCGGCACGGCGTTGGGCAGCCTGAAGAACTCTCCAGTGCTTCTATGCTGATCGCATCGTCTCGGAAGATGGGTTCAGGCACCCCAGCTCTAGAAACCAACAACCCAGAACCGATGGTTTTTATGTTTGTTCCATGCTCGTGCGTTCAAGGCGCAAACCTGCCTGAGCCACTCCTACTTTCCTCAAGGTAAGTCCTGCATGCGGGCTGGCCTCAACTCAGAACAGGAAAAACAACACATAAACACAAAAGGGTTTTATTGGTTTTACGCCGGAAGGGGGCGTCGTTGAGAGGGTGCCTGGCACGGATGCGGGGATCGGGGTGGCGTCGGTGTTTGAAGCTGGCGGTTTGCGTGGCAAGTGCGTTTAGCTGGTCGCATTTGTTCGGAACGCGTGACGGGTGGAAAAGGCCGCTCACCAGCAATTTGCAGTCCTGTGCCCGCGGGCCAGAACAAATCGTTGCGCGCTCGCAACGGGGTGCGAGAAAAGGGGGTTGGAAAGAGAGCGCGAGTCTCATTCCCAATAAGTCCCTTCGATAGGCAACACACAATTTTTTATATTCGTCTGCCGCACGGCCCAACCGAACGAACGAACAATTGTCTCGGCGCGCAGTGTTGGCTTCGCATGCGCGCATCCTGGTTTCCTTCCGTTGCTTCCTTCGTTTCTTGCTCGCCCTCCTCTTCCTTTTACTCCTCCCCTGCTTTGCCTTTTCCCGCCCTCCCCTCCCTTTCCAGCTCGGAGCTGTCACCGCGCGCGAAGAGCGCAACCCAAAGGGCGTTGCTGTAATTCCCGCGTGTGCCACGAAGTCTCGTGTAATTCCTTTGTGTGCGTTCTGGTTACACTGCCAACGCGGGGCGCACACAAAGGAATTTCCTTTGTGTACGGTCTTTTTCGCCGTCCCCACAAAAGGCACGTGCGATTCCTTTGTGTAGAGCTTGCTTTCCCGCCTCGAGGAGCGCACGGGGCCTGGCGCTACAATCACAAGGCCGCGACGCCTGGCAGTGCGACGCAGCTGCGCCGGATACCACGCCCAAAACGATCCTACGTGGATGTCGGCACTTCTGCCGAAATCGCGCTGGCCGCTGGCCAGCCACATCGCCGATCCTGCATGCCCGCGCGTGCTATTGCGTTTTGCTGCCGCGACGCGTGCTGCTGTCAACGTATGGAAAAAATTGACGTTGCACGGTGTTTGGGCTGTGCCAAACCACCATGGAATGTTTATTGGTAGCGGAGCTTGGGATCTTGTCGCCGCCGACAGCGTTGCCACACCATACATGTCAACTGCATCTTAGGGCACGGCCGTGCATCAACCCTGGTTCGGATCGCTGGGGATCCAGTGGCATGTGTGCACATGCGTTGCACCGCTGGCGGTGCCAAAACCCTTTGTGTGCAATTCGTTTTTGTGTGTGTTGGTTCCTATCAACACTCCCCCCGAGTAGTCCACGGCGGTCTCAGCACCCTAGGCACGGATTGCCACGGGGGTGCTGCCAGAGGCGGCGCACGGGTGTCGAGATCGCCCCAGGCTTTTCGGGGGGGAAATTCGGTATTTGAGGGGGTTGTCTTGGCGCAGCCCGAGGCCTTATCATCAAGAAGTCCGCCCGTGTCAGGCAGCCCGAGGTTTCAGGACAGCCTTGGTTTTGGGGAGATTGCCCTCACGTTCTTCGTGTCTGGACCGACCTCCATTCGGGACGATCGAAATGGGTGCGGAAAGAATGTGTAAACTCCTGCGCATTTTGAGTTTGATTCGCTGTCGGCGTCGCTGCCGAAGTTGTCTGTTGGAGACAAATGGCCGCCTGCCCAACAGCGGCCGCTGTCGGTTTGGGGCAACTTTTGTTGCTGGGCATTGTTCGGGATCCCGCGAAAGGGGGGGGGGCCGGGGTGTGTGAGTTCGATTGGTTTTTACACCGAACCGCCCAAAACAGATGCCCCCCAGCCGCCGGCAGCTCCCGATAGTTGCCGACTGATAGGTGGGAATGCGGGGGGCACTTGTTGGCGGCAGTGCGGTGCACCAACAGCGGGTCGAATTCGTGATCCCCTTCAGTGCCACCCACCCTGTGGTGGATGCCAAACTGTACCCAGGTCAGCCTTGCCCGATTTCGGGCGTCTGCGTTGAAATCGGGCCTGTCCCTCTACAGGGCGAAATGGTAAAAAACATCGTCAGGGGACTATTTGTTTTAACTATGCTTGACTTTTCTGGGCGTATTTTTGAGGTATTTCTAATTTTTCGCCCCAAAATTCCTTCTGGATGGGGCACGTGCCCCACTGAAGTGTGCGTCCATGGGATGGCCCTCGCTCGGGCTGCCTCCACGGGGCCTCGGGCCTTCGGCGAGGGGGCGCGTGCCCTCGGCCCGCGTGGCCGTGGCCATGCTCCGACCCGCGCGGCAGCCTCGCGCCGCGTCGGCCCAGCGGCGACCTCGCCGAGGGCGTTCCCGGCGGATGTGTCGCAGGGTGGCGGGGCTCCCGTCCCGGGACGGCGGGCGAGCGCAGTCCTCACGTGTCGCGGGGGAGGAGGGGAGGAGAAGCAGCGCAGAACCACCGCCACCACCGGCGGCTCACCTCCCGCGAGGAGGTGCACGATGCCCCCCCGAGCCAGAGATCGGAGACGTGTCGAGCGGGACGCCGCAAAAAGGTAGGATTAAAGCCGCCAGGACCCAGCCTGGCTCTTGCCCCCGGTGGTGGTGTTGTCCTTCCGCAACTCGAAGAAGACAGAATTGCATATCCATAACTGCAGTGTCGGAGGTCCGCGCGGATGTCTCGGATCTGCGCTGGGCCAGCGGCGGCTCCGGCGCAGCCCCCAGCGCGCTCTGCGCGCCAGGGAGGGTATCCAGCTCAGATCCAAGAAATCCGCGCGAACTTCGGACAGCTTATGTTCATGCAGTTTGTTTGTTCTTCTATGATCACTCTTCGATTGTAGCATCGATCCTGGATCGCGCTCCTCCCGCAGGTCCAGGCTGATGGAGGAGAAGCTACGGGACGTGCTCGAGGCGACGGGGTCAAGCAGATACCGGCAAACCGATACGTGCGGCCGCGCACGGCATTGCTCGTGGTCAAGATGCCGCGAGTGCGAAACGATAGGGCGCAGATTTCCGAGGATATCATTTCTCACTCCCTGATTTTTTCCTCGATCTTGGCCCTTGCGGGCTTGTTATCGGGGCTCCAGGCCATCAAGAATTGATCTATGATGAACAACTATCCCCGGGAAAGGGGTCCGAAGCTCTGGAGCCAAAGACTAAAACAGTCACATCGGGTTTGGGACTTTGTCTTGGGATCTCGGCGGTTTTCCACTTTCGGGATGCTCTCCAGCCGAAGGCGATCCTGGGATACCATGATCGTCCCAAACGATTGCCAGCGACCCGAACTCCGATCCGAAAGCCAGACGACATGGATCGTCCGGGTTGGGCGATAGCGTGAATTCTGGAAAAGGGGAGTTACGAAGTTGAATGCGTGCCAGTCTGTTGTGGGCCCTCCGCCGAGCAGCGCTTTTCTAGGTACATTGGCGCTTCCGGCGCAAGAAGGCGCCCTAAAATCTAATTAGTTGCATGCAGCGGATTCGCCAATTAACCGCTAACCCCTCCTTCCTATCCCTCCCGGATCAAGCACATACCCAGTTCCCAATGCCTTGGAAGCAACAGCACCCACACACATACAGAGAGAGAGAGAGAGAGCGATAACGAACAAGTGCGCAAAAAATCTGACACTTTACGGTGTCCGGGGGTCGTTCTCGGACCCCAGAGCTATCAATATATCAATCTCGTTTCCCTGTCCTTGGACAAAAAACTTTCGAAGGTTAAGACCTCCCGGCCCAGCGTAGTGACAAAGTCAAGACATCGGAAGTATGGGGAGCCATAATTTCATATCCGTGGTTGTGTACGTCTGGCGCGTTGAATGTTTGGGCTCAGTGTGGAGATTCGTTTTCAAGTCTAATCACGTGGACATACATGCGTACTCTTGTTTGTGATGCGTTCGAACTTGTCCCCGCCTTGTTTTGTTGTGTGCCCTCGCCATGTTGTTTTGCACATCGCCTGGGAAGTTTGTAAATTCAATCGCCCGTCGCTGCATGTTTTGCGGTCATCAGGGCTGCAGGTTAGCATGCTGAGTCATGTCGAAGCAGGTCGATCTGCACTGCTGCCGCATGCGGGTCGAGAGCGGGAAGATTATGCAGTTTGCGCCAGGGCACATGTGTGAGTTCCTGTTGGATGCTGCAGGCTGCTGATTTCGAAAGCAATGTGATACGACTGGGAGCTGGCCAATATCAGGCTTGCCTGTTTCTAAATTGTTGTACTGTCTGGTAGATGTTGCCTCTTGGCCTTCTCCATGCCCTTGTCACCTTCGTCATTACATGATACCTTTCTTCCTCCCCATCCATCGTCCACCTTATTTCGTTCCACTCATTTTCATCCGCCCTTCTTTTGCGCAACACTAGCTCCAGCCTCCTTCCCTACCTCCGTTCCGCACATGCTCCCCCTCTTTCAACGAAGCTGCGCGATGTTCACCCAATCAGGTGCCCTCAAGTCAGGATGGCATTCCGTAGCCATTTGGGCTTAAATTATTTCACTGAAATATTGGCGGGCGTCTCCGACGAGGCAAGCATCCAGGACCATACATGGCGGCTGACGATGCGATGATCGACTTGGCCGGCAGTCCGAAGCGCGCGCCTGATGCATCCGCCCTTGCGGAGCAGAAACCGGCGAGCGCCATCAGCGCCTTCGATCCGTTCGTTGCAGGCGCCTCGCCGGCGCCGAAGGCCGACGCCGCCGGCTCCAGCAGCTTGGGGATGCCCGCCGAGATCGCGGCGGCCTTCGAGGCAAACAAGGCGTCGAGCAGTGGCGAAGCGTTCCGACCTGTCTATAGGCCCACCAAAGACTGTTCTAATAGTATCTTGTGGTGTGTACGAAATGCTCTCAGAGCATTTCACGCTGAGACAGTATTGTTTTTACACATCGCTTCGATGCTGTGGAAGTCATTGTGTTGTTCTGAGAACATGTTTTTGTTTGAGGATTAGCGGACGAGAAACGGTGTAAAATAGACTTGTCCGCCATCGAGGACGCCTGCCCCAGAGAGGCTGGAAAGTTGGTACCCTTACGTTGGCACGTCGGGGTATAAACATTTCAGTTGCTGCCTTCGGGCAGGTGTCCCCGACTGTGGAAAAGTTCATGTTACACCGTAATTCGTCCGCTGAAAGAATATTCGAACGAGCGCTTTCTCACGCTGCTGGCAAGGGGAGGGGGCATACAAAAACAACGAGGCGAGGAGGGGGTGGGAGGACGGTCTCAACAACCTTTTCGGTGAGGTCCCGACCCCCCCCCACCCGCCGGAAAATTATAGGTATGGTTCAGAACCCCTCTCCCCCCTCCTGGCCGCCGCCGCAAGCAGACGACGACGACGACGACGACGACGACAACGACAACGACACCGACGACGACAACGACGACGACGACGACAACAGCGACGACGACGACGACGTCGCCGCCGACAAACAACGACGTCTGCGACGACAATCTAACCCCCATTTGTATGAAATGGAAGCTGGATAAATGGCCCTGGTAAACCCGTCGGATTGTAGAAGAGTTGAACCCAGGTCCTAGTAGGATTGCATTAGCGCTGGATCGTGCGAAGTACGACTGCGTTAGAGCTGGAATCAGTTCTGTAAGAAAACAGAAATTAATGACGGATCGAGCAGAGGTGGATCCAGCCTTGTTCGGGTTCCACCAGTGCTGGATCGAGCCATCGTGGGAATCTGTACGAGCTGGATCAATCCATCGTTGGACTCATCCTTAGCGAGATTTTGTTAGAGTTGGGTCGATATCTGAGCTATAGTCAGCCCTCGCAGGATTATGTTGGAGCTGGACCGACTCCTAAATGGATTCCGTTAAGCTGGATATAGCCCCGGTACGATTATGCTACAATGGTTTCCAGTCCTCGTAATATTCGAGCAGCACTGGATCGAGCCCTCGTCGGATTGCATCACAGCTGCGTCAAGCCCTAGCATGATCAGATTACAGCTGGATCGCCCCCTCAAGAGATTGCTGCAGATCTGGATCCAACCATGCGTAGGATTCTCTAAGAGACGGATCGAGCCCGATCAGGGAATCCTCTGAGAATTTGAATAGGATTGCGCTACAGCTTCATCGATCTGTAACAAGACTAAGTAGGATTGCGTTACAGCTGGGCCCAACCCTATTAGGATTATACCAGAATTGGACCCCGTCCCCGCAGGCTTGGGACTGGGGAGTGTTGAACTTGGGTTCAGTGATATCAGCGCTGGACCGAGCACTTGCAGGATTTCATTGAAGTGTGATAGAACCCAAAGGAACATGTATTACGACTGGACCCAACCCCAATAGAACGCTCCGGTTAGCGTTGGACCGAGCCCCACAAGAAATGCGTCAGAGTTCGATCCAGCCATAGTAGGATCTGGTTGGAGATGGATCGGGCCCCGCTAGTATTCAACTCTTGACGCTTCGCGTATACCCCAAAGGTTTTCTTGAGGATTCTTAGAGGCTATTGTGAGCCATGTTCGGCCACAGGCTGGCGGAGGCTATCCTTAGTCATGCTCAGCTATCTTGGGCCGTCTTGTGGCTGTCTTGTGGCCTCTTGGAGGTCTGGGAAGATAGGGAAGAGGAGGAGGAGGAGAAGGTGGACTGCGGCACGAGGAAGATGAGGAGGAGGAGGAGGAGGTGGAGGAGGGAGGAGGCAGGAAAGGAGGAGGGAATGAACTGGCGATGACAAGGAGGATGAGAAGTCGTTGTTGAGGTATGTTGTTGTGAAAAGGTTCTTGAAGGACGACGAGAAAGCCATCTGAGGGGCTCTCTGAGGGCCCAATGGGGCCTCTTGGGGCACACTTGGGGCACTCCTCAAGTCAAGCCCCCCCATCGGAGGCTCAGAAAGGGCGTCTTGGGGCCTTCGGGGACGCTATTGGGGTGCTCTTGGGCGCTCTTGGGGTCCTCTTGAGCCCCTCCGTGGGCTCTCTTCGGCCGTCTTTGGGCCATCTGGAGGCTTTAAGAGCCCATCGGATAACGAAGAGGCGAGAAGGCAAAACACCTCGATTACCCTCAGATGTTTGAAAGATGATGGCCTCTTGGGGGGTCCTTGGAGGGCATTTGAAACCGTCTTGGGGCCATCTCGAGGCCCTCTGGGGGTTCTCTTCGGCCGTCTTTGGGGCCATGTGAAGGCCTCAAGAGCCCATCGGGAACGAAAAGGCGATAAGGCGAAAAGCAGATTGTCTTCAGATGATTGACAGATGTTGGCCTCTTGGGGGGGTGCTTTGAGGGCTCGGAGGGCACTTGAATCCGTCTTGGGACCGTCTTGAGGCCTCTTCGATGTGTGTCGGAGGCTATCTTGAACAATCTTGAGGTATCTTGATCCATCTTGGAGGCCGTCTTGTGTTCTCTGAGGCCCTCTTGGAGCCATCTTGAGCTATCTTGGGGGATCTAGCGCCTCGCGCCCCCCCCTCCCAGGCTCAGGGGAGGGGGTTAGGGGCCTCCCCTGACCAGGGGGAGGGGAAGGAGAGGTTCTGGCAGAGAGAGAAGGCAAACTTCGTTCAACCACCTACTCGCAGAGGGCCGGTGGGATCAGAGCTGGACCACGCCCCAGTAGGGTTCTATGAGGGCTCGATCCAGCTAATAGGATCCTATCAGCTGCATCGAGCCCTGCCGAGATTCCATCACAGCTGGATCGAGCCCGATTGCGATTCTATCACAGCCGGCGCCGGGCTGGGCGCCCGCGCCATGTGCGCCGCCGCCGCCGCTGACGCGCTGACGTTGCCGCCGTCGTCGCAGGCGTGGTCGTTGTCGTCCTCGTCGTCTTCATCGTCTTCGCCATCGTCGTCGTCGTCGTCGTTCGTCGTCGTCCGTCGTCCGTCGTCCGTCGGCGTCGTCATCGTCGGCGTCGGCGTCGGCGTCGTCGGCGTCGGCGTCGGCGTCGACGTCGGAGTTGGCGTCGGCGTCGGAGTCGGCATCGGAGTGGGCGTCGGATTTGGCGTCGACGTCGGAGTCGGCGTCGGAGCGGGCGTCGGAGTCGGCGTCCTCGTTGCCGTCGGCGGCGGCCGGGGGAGGAGAGGGAGGGGCGGCGGGGTTCATGGGCCTCTCCAATAATTTTCCCAGGTGCGGGGGGGGAGGGTCCGACGACCCCCATGATTTTCCCCAGGGTGGGTGCGTCGGACCTCCGGGTTCTTAGGGGAGGAGGGAGGGGGATCCTTGGTATTTGACCCCCCATCTTAGGATTTGTTTACTTAGGGGGAGGGGCCCTGGTTTCTTGGCCCCCTCTCCTAGATGTCCCCCCCTTCGAAGTTTTCGTTTCAGGGCCAGCGACGGCGGATCGCTCTCCCTCTATAAAATTCTGTGGTAGGCCTAATGGACTGCTGGAACGGTCGGTCCCTGCCGAAAGGCTGGCGGCACCGCGGCGCCGCAGGCCTCTGCGCAGCCGACTACCTCGCCCGACGCGCTGATGCAGGCAATCCTGGAGGACGCGAAGAGGATGCGCGAGCAGAGCGGCTCGAAGGGCGACGATCCTTTCGCGGGCATGGAGTAGGCAGCGGATTAAGATGTCCAGCGGGGCCCGGCGCAGTTTAAGATATGGGAGGTCTGCCACAGCGTAGGCTTTGCAAGTGGGGTCCGAGCAGATGGGGTCAGAGGATCGCTCCGCATCGCCGATGCGGCTCGATGCGGAGACCGATTGTTGCCACGCCGACGGCGCCGACGCATCGCCAACGTCTCTGATGCATCGGCGATGCCTTGCCGATGCATCGGCGATGAGGCCCGATTCTCCGACCCCCATCTACTCGGACCCCATCTAGGAGGTTTACAGCCTCGTGAACGAGCTTAGGGTGGATGCTAGCGCAAGACCGCTGTCGTCACGAGCCCTTCTGTCAGACCACAAGGATGCCCTCGCATTAAGGGCGCTCCAGCAAGCGGGTGCAGGGCGCCGACGCCGCGTCCAGGCTTGCATAGACACGGCATTTGAAGATCTATTTGTCGAACAGTTTGTTTCAATGCGCATCATGCTAGGTGCCTAATACAGACGTTGCCGAATTTTCAACGCTTCGCGTGTCCACACCGTCCCCCACGCGCTGTGGCAAGGCAGGACGAAGACAGGGATCAGCCTGAGGATGTACCACCACCCTGCTTCCGCAAACCAGACAGGTCAGACAAGCAGTCGATGCGAACTCATCCTCGTCATCCTGCCAAGTCTCGCCCCTCCTCCGTGCCCACGAGTTGGTCACAGTGAGGTTGAGGCCTTTCTAAAAGCAGCGGTTGACAAGCGCGAGACAGCAGTGATCTCTCCCCTGCAACTGGCGAGGCACGTCCGCTGTCTGGACCCAGCCACCGACGACGCCTGGATCGCCCTTGTTGACCAGGAAGGCCCCAAACCGAACGATTGGAACGACGACGCCTCAGGACAATCTCGCCTGCACCTTTATCCGGACGCTCTTCACTGACACCTTCATTGACGACGGAGTCCCACCTGGCGTCGCCTGGCACAGTAAGCGATGGGCGGCCGTCCGCCTGGCACGCCGTCTTGCCCGGGAATCCCTAACAGGGCACATTTGGCAGCTCTTACGCCCAGAGAGACGCACCACACAAGGACACTGATCCCGCTCACCATCGCATTGACACGTTCGTAGGTTGGTTTGCAAACATTGAGCCCGACCTGCTCACGGACGACGCTGTGACGCACTGGGAGACGGACGCAAGCAATGTAGACCCGACAGCAGCGTCGATCGGCGCGGCCGTGCCGTCCCAAGCGGCCCGGCCCCCACCAAGTGCTCCTGTCGGAGCAGAAGCGGGGGCGACCAAGGAGGACCTCCACCCTCCCATCACGCGCCTAGGGAAGATGGAACGCCTGGTCAGGCTGCGGAGCGGGACACGGACACCGCTGCCAACACAGGCTACGACGCAACGCAACAAGAGGAGGAGTTGGACTGGACTGGAGGTGCGGAGGCCGAGGTACCACAGAAGAGTCCTGAGCTCCCAGCAGACGAGGACCCCCCCGCTCCACTTGCACCCGCTGGCGACGGGGCTAGCGCGAGGTCCCTTCCTCGCACTGTCATCCTCCGCGCCGCCGGGTCGGCCAGCAGCAGCCACGCCCCCACTGACACACGGAAGCCTCTGTCACGCCCCGATTCTTGGGGAACACACTTGGCAGCAGCGACGCAGCATAGGAGACCCTGGACGCCCACAGAGAGTCGCGGGAAGGGACGCGACCGACCTGTATGGAGCCCTTATGATCAGGATCGGCGCAGCGTGATTCGCACGCACAGCCTCGTCAGCAGCAGGTGGACCAGCTGCAGCTCTAGCTGGAGTGCTCGAGACAATGGGCGTGCGCACGCACCCAGCTGGTCAAGTACCGCGCGGAGCAGCAAAGCCTTGTGGTAGGTGGGCACGAGGACAGTGGCGCGACAAAGCAGCCAACACACCCACGCCAGCCGACCGCCGCACCCATGATGGCAGTCAGATGTACAAGACGCCCACGCACCTGGTGGAAGCACAGGGCGAGGCGGAAGACAGCCGTGATTTCAGTGAAGCGGTGCAAGCCGAGCTCGGTGCCACGTTCGACGAGGTCTGGCACCGGCGCCCCGGGCTCGCTCCCAGAAATTCACGCGTACAATCCCAGGCCGCCTGCGATGCATTGTTTGGATGCCCGGCGACAGAGCGGCTACGACGCCCGCGCACTCAGCCACCAGCGCAAGCTCAACGCTAGCTTAGAACACGCACGCCATGAGCACGTGACGAACGACTGGAGCAGCGCTGGGCGATCAGGCAGGGGACAAGACAAAGACGCCTCTGAGGCACGCAACGGCAAGCAGGGCAAGCGCAGCCACGGCTGGGACTGGCCCCTCACAGACAAGAGGCACCGTCTGTAGTCCCCCCCCTGCCACATCCCATTGCACCTTCCACCGTGCGTTCTGCCTGGGGTATTCTGGCCCCGCTTCTGTTCCCGTGCTTGCTGCGGTCGGCTGCCTTCTCTTTTCCTCCTCCCCCTCCTCCTCCTCGCCTGGGGTCTTCCTGCAACCGTTTCCTCGTTGCCTGCCCGCGGCGGCGGGGGCTGGGCATCGCTTAGGGTGTGCCTCTGCCGAGGCTGTCAAAGTATTTGCAGCGATCAGCTGCCGGTCTTCCCTCCGACATTCCTCTGCCGAGGCTTTCAGAGCACTTGCAGCGATCAGCTGCCGGACCTTCCCCTCGTTCTACGCACTTGCGGCGATCAGACACCTCTCGCACGTCTCGGCCCGGGGGAACCGTCCAGCAGGCCTCATGAACTGCAAGACCCATTGCTGGACCTGGCTGCCGGCTGGCGCCTGGCGCCTGGCGCCGGCCCCCTTGGGGCCCTTCCCCGTTCATTCGTTCCACTTCCGCGCCATGGCCGCAAGGGCGCACGTCGGCTGGGTCCGGGCGGGACGTCTTCCCGACCCCGCCATGGCATTTTCTCGCTCAAGGCTTTCGCGGTCTCCCTGGCGAAGTTCTTGCGGGCCTTCGGCTGCATCGCTGGCCGCCCGCCGTTCCACGCTTGGGCTACCCGACGAGTGGCGCCTCCTTGCGCGGCTTCGTCGTGCTGGTCGTTCAACGTCGTTCCATTGCCTCCGGGCCCGGGCGCGCGAGGCGCTCTGGCGGCTGGGCGCGTCGTTTGACCACTTACTCACGCTACTGTCCCATGGCGCCTGGTCGTCGACATCCACGCGAAGGAGTTCGCGCCTGGTGACGCCCTCGCGCCCGTCTACAGCGGCGGATTCCTCTTCCTTTCCCGCCGCGTCGCGTTTCGGCCCGGCACCTCCCTCATGTCCTACCTGCGCTGCAAGTTATGGGCTCGCCGCTTCCACAATACTGGATAAGCGCGGCGCCCGCCTCTCCTCTGCCTACATAGTCTGCTTGTTCAACAAGGTTGCTTGGGGTGCGGATGGGCCTCGCGCCAAGGCCATCCTGGAGCTGCAGGCCCACCCACTGGCGCTTCTGGGCTTGCTCGGTTTCCTGCCGGCCACTGCGTCGTTCCGGTGCACCTCCGCCCCTTCCGCGCCATTTTGGCCGCGCTGAGTTCCGCCTCGCTCCGTCGCGCTTGCTTCCGGCATGGTTTTCCCTTGGAGTCCTACCTGCGCGGCAAGTTCGGCGCTCTGGTTCGCCGCCTTCACCGCCCTCGGTAAGCGCGGCCTCTGCCTCTGCCTTGGGCACGGATGGGCCTCGCGCCACGGCCATCCTGGAGCAACGTGGCCCCACCCACCGACGCTTCTGGATTCGCTTGCTCGCCTTTCCGCCCGGCACCTACACCGCGCTCGTGGTGCTGGTCCCCCATGTCGCGCCTGCTTTACCGCGTTGAGTTCCGCCTCGCCCCGGCGCGCTTGCTGCCTTGGATTTCCATCGCAGGTGGCATAGCCTGCTCCTGCTTGCCCAGCGTCCGACTCGCATCGTGTGCTTGCGTGTCCAAAATATCCACGCCGTCTCATCCAGGATTGATGCCGTTGGGAGCTGCCCTTCTCCAGCGAGCACGGCGTCATTTGGGTACCTCGTTGATCCTTAATGAATTGCAGGCTTCTAGAATGTCCCTCTGAGTTTCTTGGGATGTCCCCTGGGGGAGGGCTCTTGGTGGCCTGTTCGGGCGTCTTGGAGGCCCCTTAGGGGTTATTGCGGTGGCCTCCGGCCAGTGCCTCCGATCCGGGGCGCTCCTGATGCTAATGTTGTTGAAATGGACCATGACGACGACAACGGACGACCAACGGTCGACGACCGGAATAATTACGACGACGGCCGATGAAGAAGTTAATGACGACGAACCGACGACGACGACGACGACGACGACGACGACGACGACGACGACGATTGACGGTGAACGGCTGCCGACGGCCGACGACCGACGACTGGTGACGGCGACGGGTGGAAGGTTCTTCGTTCATCGCTTTCGCTTCCGAGCAATACCAAGTCAGGCCGTGCACCTCTGGCCTGGCAGCACGCGAGTGAGCGCCTCTTGGAGCCTCTTGGTTCTTGGGGCTTCTTGGAGGCCTTTGTGGCCTCTTGGGGGCCTCTCGGGGTCCTCTTGGGGGCCTCTTTGGGGACCTCTTGGGGGCCTCTGGGGGCCCCTTGGGGGCGCCTCGGGGGCATCTTGGGGGCTCTTGGGGTCATGTTGGGGTGGAGGACTAGAAGGGTCCGATCGGATTCGCCCTCTTGAGGCCATGTTGTGGGCCTCTCGGGGTCGTCTTGGGGGGGCCTCCAGGGCTATATTGGGGCCCTCTTGGACAGGCGTCTTGGAGGCCTCTTAGGAGTTATTTGAGGCGTTTTGGGGCGTCTTGCGGATCTCTCGGAGGCCTTTTCGAGGTCTTTTCCGGGCCTCTTTGGGCCTTCTTGGCAGCCTTGGAGTACATCGACCGAAAAGGGGGGGTCCTCAAGAGATCATTTTTTTATTGCTTGGGGCATGGCGGGCGTCATGGCCTCTGCCCCCCCCCCCGCTATGACGTAACGCTCCCCCCCAGTGCGCTCCGGGCATTGCCGCCGTGCGTATTGGGATCCGCGTTGGTGTCCGCGTAGGAATCCGCATAGGAGTGTGGTCCGCAGTCGTCTTCGTCGACGTCGTCGTCGCTCGTGGCTCGTGGCTCGTGGCTCTTCGCTCGTCGCTCATCGTCGTTGTGCGCGCGGACGCGGCTGGAGCCTTTTTTTATTCCGGGCCGATTACGGCAATCATCTGGGGGGTGTGGAGGGGGTCGTTGACGTCACGTTTCGCGCCGGCGGCGCTTGGGAATGATTAGGAATGACGGAGGACGGATGGCACCATCATGTAGGTGGCGATTTGCACCACAACGCCCGTGTACACCTGAGTGCCTGCGTGCACCACAGCGCCTGTGTACACCACACCGCCTATGTACAACAGCGTCAGTTTGTGCCACCGCGCGCGCGGGCACAACAGCTCTTGTGTACACAGCGCCTGCGTACTCCACATCAGCCGTGTGCAGAACAGCAGAGTACACCACAATGCCTGCGTGCATTGCAGTGCCTGTGTACACCACGGCGCTCGTGTGCACCACAGCAACCGTGTGCAACACAGCACGACTGTGGTATGTAGAATGTTAGAAGGAACGCGTATGACAAAATGGAGCGTTTGTGGATTCCACCGGAAACACCAGGGAACAATCCGTATAGACAAGAGAGCGCCAGGGGAATCTACGAGTCCTTCCGAGTTCGCCCGCATCACCGTAAATCCTCCCATCTGCGTCCAGGAGGCTCGAGCTAAATTGGCCGTTCGAGAACCAAGTGGGCCGATTCAATGCTCAATTCTGCGGTGCACGCTGAGTTGCGCACGTGCGTTGTAGCGCCAACCCGCACGGCAGGGGGAGGAGGAGGAAGAGAAAAAGGAGGAGGAAAAGGCGGAGGAGGAGGAGGTGGAAGTGGAGAAGGGAAGAGGGAAAAACGTCGCATTCGATTATCAGCACTTTCCTGGCGTGGCGCTTCCGCAGGAGATCGTCACAGGTTCCTTCTACCTGTCCTATGCATGCAGGCATTGTGGTGTACAATAGCGCTGCGTTGCACGTGGATGCTGTGATGTAGACGGGCGCTGTGGCGTGCACAGGCGCCGCGGTGCACGCAAGCATTGTGGTGTACACAGGCGCTGTGTTGCACATGGTTGCCTCCGGTGTGCACATGTACACCGGCGTTGTAGTGTACGCAAGCACTGCAGTGTACACAGGCGCTGCGTTGCACACGGTTATTGCGATGTACGCAAGCGTTGTGGTGTACACGCGCGCTGTGGTGCACGCGAGCGTTGTGGTGTACACAGGCGCAAAGGGGCAGATCGCCACCTACATGCTGTTCGCGTCGTCGTCGTCGTCGTCGTCGCTTGTCGGCGTCGTGCGCGCGGGCGCGGCTGTGGTGCCGGAGCCACACGGCGGGGGGGGGCGTTACGTCATACCCCCCCGCCCCCCCCCATGACTCCCGTTATCGCCGAACCTAAAGAAACGCTCTTCAATCATCGTTGCCATTCTAGAACCTCGGCAATCGCATCTGGGGGTTCTCTGGGCCCTCTTTGGCCCTTCGTGGCCCGTGTTGAGTCGATATTGGACCCTCTCTTAAAAGGCGAACGAGCGAGAAGGCCACTCATTTTTTCCGAGGTGTTGGACGGATGTTGGCCTCTTTGGGGTGTCTTGGGGAGCCCCACGGCCACTTGGACACGTTTTGAAGTGGTTTGGGGACCTGAAGGCTGCTGGAAGCCATCTTGAGTCGGACTGCCCTATCATGAGCCATTTGGGGCTATCTGGGGCCTTTTTGGAGCCATTTTGGGCTCTCCTGGATTCTCCAACGACCCGCAGGTCCAGACCCAGGCGACGGGGGTATGTGGGAGGGGTATACCCTTCTCGGAAGGGGAAGAAGGGGAGTGGAAGAAGAAGCGCTCTAAGCCACCTACGCCCTGAAGGGCTGGTTTGATTCACAGAGCTGGACTTTTAAAGGTGCGGCACAAAATGCGACGCAGTTGGCATGGACGAGTTCCCTTGCCATCAGTTGGCTAGGCGGCACTTTCCACATGGCAGCAACTCACCCGCGTTGGCTGCCGCAGGTGTATGCGTAGAAGCCGCTCGTTTTCTGCAAGTTGTCCCAGCCTAGGCACTCAAGATCTCGGAGATTCGACGCGATCTCCACGCACCGGTGCGGCTACCAGCACAACCGGCCATCAATCAACCGATCGATCACGTTTCTTTCTTCGCATGTTCTCGCACTCTTCTGCGGCGCGATCTCTTGCCGCCGGCCAGGCGCACCCTGGGCCCAGGAGTGGTGTCCAGAGGCTTCGCCGGCCAGGCCCGGAGGGCGTGCATCGGATTATTCGCTCCAGTGCGTTCCGGAACGCTCTGCGGGGGCCGCGGCGCCCGATGCGTCCTCCAGAGCCGCCAAATCTCGAAGATTCTCGATTTATCACCCGAACTTGCCCTCGTCTTGGCTTCGTCTTGCGCATAGACCCTTCTTGGGCCCACGTGGGCCTGGTCAGGAGCACAGGTGCATAGATCTCGTCGCCTCAAGGATAGACCACGCGCAGAAGGGGGCAGGGGGAGGCGGGGAAAACTTCTCAGGAGCACCCCTCCTTAGAAAGCGCGGGCCTTACCTATTGATGTAGGGCCGGCGCCTTCTAAGAAGCGGCCTCCTTCTACGAAGCTTTCATCCCTCCCCCTACCCCGTTGTACGCGCCGCCAAGTTGCGGCGTGTCGATATCTGACGGCGCGGCTCGGACGCAGGGGCGTTGGTGCGAGGATCTGCGCGCGGGGATGTGTGCAGTGAGACGGCTGAGGGTGGAGAGGCCCGCCTGCCACTGTTTGTCGTTCCCCCATGGGTGCACTAACTTTGTTTGCATGTTCTCGGGGCCTCACCAGACTGCCTTGCGAACTCGAAGCTGACTAAGGACACCGCCGTCTGACACGTGTCGGGATCCAGCGGCTGCAACGGGAAGGATCGACCGGTGCCCTGCCCATGGCGTTGGGCAGGGGGCCGATGGCCCCGCTTTTTGGTCGGCGCTCCCTCGCACCATCCCAGACCTTGACATCCTCACCTACGGCCACCACGAGGGTGCGAAGTTAGTCGCGTTTCGCGGTCTGGGTGATTTCAGAATGAGGCGCGAGTCCTTCATCCTGTTCCCAGGGAAGAGAGAGGCTGCGCGAAATCGCAAAGATTATCGCGCTTCGCGGTGCGAGAAGCGCGAAAATAGTTACCATAGTGAAAACGGGCATCATCCACATCCCCGTGAACATAGTTTGTAACAAAAGTTGCATACGGATGGAAACCGAAACGATGTTGAATCAGACCAGGCGGGGCCCGTCGCATCAACTGGCATCCGCTTGTCAATGTTTCGGAAGAGCGTCTCGTCTGCGTTGCGCGGTGCATGTTCGCCATCCGATTGCGGGAACGAATTCGCACGGCAGAACGTGGAAGTGCCCACGCCAGTTGCCCTGTGAAGGATTAGTTTGGAAGAACACCCGGGCAGTAAGTGGCGTCTGCCTCCTACTGTTGCCACTGGGCGCGCCAGCCAAAGTATGTCATACCAACGACTTTGAACATTGAACGGCGAGTCTCGCTTAATGATCCTCTTTGGGCGTTGCCGCCTGCAGCTCGTTGAAGACGGTCGGTTTGTTGACTTTGTTATAACTGTTTTCCCGGCTGTGTGGATGTCGAACCTGTTTGGATTTGTCCCTGTCTTTCTGGTGGCAATTACCGTGTAGCGCGGGCAACTTCGACCGTTCGGGCACATGGAATGGGGAGCGCGCGATCCCTCATAGATGCAATGGCACCCGGGCGGCTGCCGCGCTCTGTCGCGGCTTCCCTGGGAGGGCAGCGGGGTGGGGGGGCGCGAGGAGAAAAAATCAAGACGCGAAGGAGGGGGGAAACGAGAGGGGGGGGAGGAGGATTAGAGGGACGAGGCGACTGAAGATGCCGATGATGTCTCGGCAGAGCAGCGAGAGCAGTGGCTGGCGACGCGGCGAACACGCACGTCGTCTTCGTCGTGGTCGCCGCGGTCGCTGTGGTCGCCGTCGTTGTCGTGGTCGTCGTCGTCGTCGCCATCGTCGTGGTCGTCATCGCCGCCGTCGTCGTCGACGTCGCCTCGGTCGTCGTCGTCGTCGTCGTCGTCGTCGTCGTCGTCGTCGTCGTCGTCGTCGTCGTCCGCCGTTTTTGGCAATAACGGCTGTTCCTGGGGCCCGAGAGCCGCTCGTCGTTGCTAGGCGCAAGTCCTTATTGGGCGGGAGCGGGCTCACCATGAAAATCCGCCCATGGCGGCAAATGTTTGATGCTTGTCCAGAGTACTTAACGATTCGGCGCGGGCGGGTTCAGGTTCATTGTGTAAATTTGGTTGCGGGACGCACGTCCCGTTGTCCAGGGGCCCCTCTTAACGATCGGACGGTGGCAAGTTTAGTTCGTAGAATCACACATGGGACGAGCTGCGCGCAAAGTGGCGCGTCCCGACGCGCCCACGTTACGACGTGTTTTCTGCGTTTTCCCAACCATCCTGTGGTGTTGGGTCCTTGTTTTGCAGAGACGGTGCCCCGCGTTCCTCTCCTCTCTTTCTTCCTCTTCCTTTCTCCCCTCCTTCCTCCTCCCACCATCACCATCATCACCATCATCGGCATCATCAGCATCATCACCATCACCATCATCACCGGTATTACAATCACATCATCATGACCGTCATCATCTTCATCATTATCACCACCATCATCGCAGTCATCATCATCATACGACCCCTCACACCTTTCGTGGCCCCTTAGGGAGCGCCGCCGAAGGCCCCAGTGGCTGCGTTCGCGTGCGGGCACACCGCACCAATTTCGGCACACCCCCTCACACGCTTCGTGGTCCCATAGGGAACCCCACAGGAGATCCCACTGGCTGCGTTCGCATGCGGGCGCCGCACGCATTTCGGCACACCCATCACACGTTTCGTGGCCCCTTAGGGCGCTCCGCCGAAGGCCCCAGTGGCTGCGTTCGCATGCGGGCACCGCACCCATCTCGGTACACCCCTCACGCTTCGTGTTCCCATAGGGGGCACCACCGATGATCCCAGTGGCTGCGCTCGCATGCGGGCGCCGCACCCATTTCGGCACACCCTTCACACGTTTCGTGGCCCCATACGGAGCTCCGCCGAAAACCCCAGTGGTTGCGTTCGCACGCGGGCACCGCATCGATTTCGGCACACACCTCACACGTTTCGTGGCCCCTTAGGGAGCTCTGCCGAAAACCCCAGCGGTTGCGTTCGCACACTGGCATCGCACCCATTTCGGCACACCCCTCACACGTTTCGTGGCCCCATAGGGAGCTGCGCCGAAGGCCCCAGTGGCTGCGTTCGCACGCGGGCACCGCACCCATGTCGCTACACCCCCCACACGTTTCGTGGCCCCATACGGAGCTCAGTCGAAAAGCCCCAGTGGCTGCGTTCGCATGCGGGCGCCGTACCCATTTCGGCACACCCCTCACACGTTTCGTGGTCCTGCAGGGAGCTCCACCGAAGGTCCCAGTGGCTGCGTTCGCATGCGGGCACCGCACCCATTTCGGCACACCCTCACACGTTTCGTGGCCCCTTAGGGAGCGCCGCCGAAGGCCCCAGTGGCTGCGGTCGCGTGCGGGCACCGCACCCATGTCGCTACACCCCTCACACGTTTCGTGGCCCTTTAGGGGGCTCCGCCGAAAGCCCCAGTGGTTGCGTTCGCATGCGGGCACCGCACCAATGTCGGCACACCCCTCACGTTTTGTGGTCTCATTGGGAGCTCCACCGGAGGTCCCAGTGGCTGCGTTCGCATGCGGGCCCCGCATCCATGTCGGCACACCCCCTCACACGCTTCGTGCCCCCATGCGAAGCTCCGCCGAAGGCCCCAGTGGCTGCGTTCGCACGCGGGCACCGCATCGATTTCGGCACACCCTTCACACGCTTCGTGGTCCCATTGGTAGCTCCACCGAGGCCCCAGTGGCTGCGTTCGCATGCGGGCACCGCACCCATTTCGGCGCACCCCTCACACGTTTCGCGGCCCTTTTAGGGAGCTCCGCCGAAGGCCCCAGTGGTTGCGTTCGCACGCGGGCGCCGCGCCCATGTCGAGATCGGGGCGACGTTGACATGGCCGAGAGAGACGGGGGGGAAATAATCTATCTGAAGCACTTGCCGCTGGGGTTTGGGGCGCACATGGAGAAGTGCGCGAGCGCGCCCCTCATGGGCGACCTCGGGCGCCACGATGAGAGCTTCGCGGGGGACCTCACGGGCAAGCTGGTGTTCATCGAGCCTCGCACGTCGGAGCCGTTCACCTTCCGCGCCTCCAAGGTCACCCGAACGGGCTTCCCCTTCTCGCGCGGCGGGGCCGTCGCCGCGGCGGCGTGCCAGGGGCGCGCCATGCGCAAAGGCGACGGGGCGAGGGGGCATCGCTCTGGGGCAGTTGACGGCCAGACCTGCTGGGCGCGGGCAGTCCGCATCCAGACCTCTCGGCCCCGCGGACTCTCGCCCTGGGCCGTCGGCTGTCCGGCGCGCTGCGCCCTCGGCTGACATCGCCCAGGCGTGATCCTGGACTGCGGCCGCCACGAGGTGGGGAACGGCAAGAAGGAGGGCGACGACTGGCGGCTGGAGCTCTACGCGCTGCTCTCGCGCGCCGCGCGCCACGAGGACCTCCTGCTCACGCGGGCGCCGCGCGTCGAGTTCCTCCTGGCAGGGCCGTCGGTGGGCTCGGGGAGGCAGCTGGAGCAGTTTGCTGCGCGCAGGAAGCGGCGCCGGAGGGGGGCGACGGCCCTGGCCTCGCGCCGCGGGCGACCCGCGCGCGTCGCCGGGGCCCTCTCGGGGCGACCAGCGCGCGTCGCGGGAATTCCGCGCTGCGCTCTGCCCAGCGCCTCGCTCGCCCCCATCGTTGCTCTGCCCGGCGGCCGCAGCCGTGCCCGCTATCTGCCAGCCAGCTAGCTCTCTCTGCTCCGCGCAGCGCACGACCCGTGCGCGTCGCCCGGACCCGTCGGGGCGACCGGCGCGCGTCGCGGGGGCTCCGCGCGGCGCCGCGCCCGCAGCCATGGGCGCCAGCGCTCGCGGGCAAGGAGGCAGACAAATAACAGGGAGGAAGCGGGCGCGATCCTCGTGAGGGGCGCGCCGGCATGGGCGCCGCGGCGTGCGAGCGCCGCCGTCGGGGGCCCCGGGGAAGCGCCCTGCGGCGGCCACTGGCATGCGCGAGCCATTCACATTCATATACATTTACATCAGGCGTGGCCATGCTCGCACTCGTGCAAATATACTCAATCGCACGCAGACTCATTCACGCTCAGACTCGCTCGCGCTAAGACTCACCCGCGCTCAGTCTCTCGTAAATAGACCAATCGTATTCGCTCGCGTTGTGTACCCCGTCGCGCAATTCGGCGCGCCCCTTATGCGGTTCGTGGCCCCATAGGGAGCGCGATCGAAGAATGCAAACACATTTGCGGTATTCAGAACTGCGCATGGTTGGGTCCTTCGCCAGGCGATTTGTTTTTTCTTCTGCGCTTCGCGCGTGAATAAAGAAAAACAGGAAGCGTGCGTCGCAAAGTGGAATTGTTTGAATCAGAGCAAGGATTTGTTACAGAACAACGCATTGTTTTAGAGAAAACAAAGCATCTCCCACTTTACGACGGGCGTTTCCCGCCTTTTTTTTCCCACGCGCCAAACGCGGAACACCCAAATCGTAAAGTGGGCGCGCCAGGGTGCTCCACTTTGCGCGACATCCGTTCTGTGTCTCAATTTACACACGAAGCCCGCGCCCGCCCAATGGTGGAGTGGGATCTCCGGGCAACCCAAATTGCATCCCGCGTGTGAGAACCCGCCCTCCGCCAGATTGTCAACGCGCTCCGTTGGACAACGCCCCGCATGTCCCATTGGTCTTGTCAGTCCCGCATGCCCCCCCCAGGCATCGCAGGCCCCGCGAGTTTCACAGGCCCCGCAGGTCTCGCAGGTCGCGCAGGTCTCGCAGGTCCCACGGGCCCCGCAGGCCCCGCAGGTCCCACGCGCACAGGGACGGACACCGGAACGATATCGAATCAGACCAGGCGGGGCCCGTTGCATCAGTTGACATTTGACTGTCAATGTCTCGCATCGTCTGCGTTGCGCGGCGCATGTTAGCCATCCGGCCGCGGGGGAGAAATCGCGCGGCAAACGTGGAACCGCCCGCGCCAGCGGCCCTGCGAAGGATTAGCTTGGAAGAGCGCCCGGGCACGAAGCGGCGCCCGTCTCCCACTGTCGCCGCCGGACGCGCGAGCCAAAGTGCGGCGCGTCAATGACCTGGCCCGTGGCGCGCGCCTGCGCGCGCTGCCGACGTTGAGTGGCGAATGTCATTCGATGATTCTCTTTGGGCGTTGCAGTCTGCAGCTCGTTGAAGACGGTCGTTTTGTTCCTTTGTTATAATTTCTTCCCTGTCTGCGCGGGTGCCGAACCTGTTTGGGCGCGTTCCAATCGTTCTGGCGGCAATTCCCACATTGCGCGGGCAACCTCTGCCGCCCGGGCACATGGAACGGGGGGCGCGCGATCCCTGATGGACACAGTGGCACCCCGGCGGCCGCCGCGCTCCGTCGCGGCCCCCATCGGGAGGGCAGCGGGGGAGCGCGAGGGGAAAGAACGCGAAGATACGAAGGAGGAGGAGGACGAGGAGGGGGGGAGGGCAGAAGGATTAGAAGGACGAGGCGAGCGAGGATGCCGATGATGTGTCGGCAGAGGAGCGAGGGCTAAGCAGCGGCCGGCGACGTGGCGAGGACGCATGTCGTCTTCGTCGCGGTCGCCGCGGTCGCTGCGGTCGCCGTCGTTGTGGCGGTCGTCGTCGTCGTCGTCGCCACCTTCGCGGTCGTCGTCGTAGTCGTCGTCCGCCGTTCTTGGCGATAACGGCTGCGCTTGGGGCCCAGGAGCCGCTCGTCGTTGTCGGGCGCAACTCGTTTTTGGGCGGGGGCGGGCTCGCTGTGAAAATTCGCCCATGGCGGCGAATTCCTGATGTCCGGCGAAACTACTTAACGAATGGGCGCGGGCGGGTCCAGGTTCATTGCGCGCATTCATACACGGGGCGCGCGCCCCGTTGCCCCGGGGCGAATCTAGAAAATGTAAGTTTTCAGTGTGTGTATATATATATGTGAGGGGATCATTGTGGTATAATGCGCGTTCCCTCTCTTTCTCATGCTCACACTGCGTCACTACCCTAATCCCTTATATCCTGCTATACTTTATTCCTTTTTATGAGAATTCACAATCGTTAGTTTACTTGTCCCTAATATCTCCTTGTGTCGATCCTCTTCTCTTCCTTATCGTCATGACTTTCGCAGACTGTTCTATTCCCTTTCCCCGCCCTCCCACGTCCTCCTGATCATCCTCCTGCTCTTCCTCTTTCTCCTCCTCCTCGTCCTGCTCCCCCTACGCACATTTTCATCGCCATCATCGTCATTCTCGTCATCATCGCAGCCAGCATGTCATCATCGCCATCATCATCACCATGATTTTCGCCGTCGTTGTGGCAAGCGTCGTTGTGGCCTCCTCGATTCCTCCTACTACGATGACCCAGGCGTCGAGACTGTAGAAGTCGCGCTGTGCATTTTTCCCCCGGAGTGGCGGGGGCGCAGCTCGGGGGAAAATTCAACAGACTATAAAACCATTGTCGTGACGAAGTATACGATCACGCGCCTATGGATGTAAGCTCTTGAGGCTCTACGGAACCACCCGACGTGGCTGGATTGAGCCCTACAAGGGGTCCAATAATCCCAAAGAGACCCCGCCAAGGTGTTATCATCATCCTCCTACTCCATCACCGCTCTAATTCCTCATCTCCTCTTCCTTATCCGCTTCTTCTTCCTATTCACATTACTCCTCATCATTTTACTTCACTTCCCCTCTCCTTGCCCCCTCCTGTCCTCATCATTTTCCTCCCCGCTACCCCTGTCGCTCTCTCCCTGTTCCTCCCTTCCACCACCCCATCATCATCATCACCCTTGTGCTGTATCCGTCTCCTTCGCCATTTCTTGATTATTCTCCCCCCTCCTCCTCCTCCTCCTCGTCCTCTTTCACCTCCCACTCCACCTCGCCCTCTCCTCGTCGTCGTCGTCATCCTCCTCATCTTCCTCCTCCTCCTCCTCCTCCCCTCATCATCTCTTCTCTCCCCCCTCCGATTATCATCCTCATCCTTCTCCTGATCATCACGCCCCCCCTCCTCATCCCTCGTCTCTGCCCATAAATGTGGTTTCCCCTTTCTCTTCCAGCTTACGCTCCTACTTCTTCATCCCGCATGCTGAGTATCATCCGCCTCCGCTTCCTCCTCCTCCTCCATATCCTGCTCTTCATCGCTCCTCTAGCGCGGGGGGAAATTGAACGTGGGGGAACGGGGAGACGAGAACGGGCATCTCTCTCTCCCTCTCTCTACATAATGCGTGATTCTCCCCTCCTCATCATCATGCTGTTCTTCCTGCTGCCGCTCATGCTGCTCATCCTGCTGCTGTTGGCGCTAGACGCGCGCCTCCGCTGTGCATCGCTATCTGCTAGACAAGACCCTTCCCCAACTTGTTTATAAAAAAACCCTGGAGCTAGACGTGCCCCTCTGCCGTGCACCGCGCTCTCCTGGATGAGGCCCCTCCCAAAGTTTATTTCAAACATATCCCTGGTGCTAGACGTGCCCCTCTGCTGTGCGTCGCCCTCTGCTAGACGAGGCGCCTTCCCAAGCCGATTGAACCAGAAACCTTGGTGCTAGACGTGCCCCTCTGTTGTGCACCGCCCTCCGCCAGACAACAAGCCCCCTCCACAATTGAGTTAAACAAGCGGCTCCCTGATGCTAGACGCGCACCTCGTCTAGCAGTGGGTTCTGCACAGCAGAGGACACGCCTAGCACCAAGGGTTCCTTTTCACATCAACTTGGGGATGGGCATCGTCTGGCAGAGCGTGGCGCACCGCATGGGGCGCGTCAAGCACCAAGGACGATGATTTAGTCAAGCTGGGAAGGGGGGGCTTGTTTAGCAGAGGGCGGTGCAGAACAGAGGCGCACGTCTTGGACAAAAAAGGATTATGTTTATCACCCTGGGGGAGGGGCTTTGTCTAGCGGAGGACAGTGCACAGCAGTGGGGCACGTCTAGCTTCATGTGTTCTATTTAAATCAACTGGGGGCGGGGCCTTGCCCAGCAGAGGGCGGCGCACAGCAGAGGGGCACGTCTAGCACCAATGATTTGTTTAATCAACTTGGGGCGGGGGCTCGTGTAGCAGAGCGGGCTTTCTAGCAAAGGGCGCCGGTCTGGGAGGGGGGGGGGGGGGCGGGGCATCTCTAGCGCTGGCAACGCGGCCGCCTGACCGCCTGACCACCCGACCGCCTGACCACCCGACGACCTGACATGGGCAGAGGGGGGAGGGAGAGAGCGAGAGAGAGAGAGGGAGAGAGAGAGAGAGAGAACAGGAAAAAAAACAGTGCGAGGCTATGAAGACCCCCCCTTCTGAAACGCTCTGACGGACCTGCTGAGTGGTGAATAAGGGCTCAATAAGAGGCTCTTACGAGGCTCTAAAGGGCTTCCTGAGGGGCGCTTGCGACGCTTTGAAGGCCGCCCCGCGAAGCTATTCAGAAGCTCTGAAGTGCCTCCTACGGGGCTCCTGAGAGATTCTGAAAAAGCTTCGTGAGAGCCTCGTGATGCGCTATGACATACTTTCCAGAGTGGCTCTTTGGAGGCACTGAATGGCTTCCGCAGAGGCTCTTGAGAGGCCTTTGGCATGCTCTAAGTGGCCTTGTGAGAGGCTATTACGGGCTTCAGTATTAGCTCTTGAGAGGCTCCGAAGGGGGTTCTGACAAGCTCTGGAGAGGCTCTCCAGAGCCCACTGAGCCACCCAGAAGCTCCCCCCCCCCCTCCCTCCGCGAGAAGTCATGAGAGGGGTCCTGACACGCTCTGGAGCCTCCTGCCATATTTTGAGAGTACCCTGGAATGTCCTAACCCCGCCACTCCCCGAGAAGCTCTGAAGCGCATCCTGGGAGGCGTCTGAAGAGGCTCCTGGGAAGCTCTCGATAAGCTCTGAGTGGCCGCATGAGAACCTCTAGAGTGACTCTGAAGGGCTTCCAGAGATGTTCTGAAAGAGCTCCAGAGAGGCCCTTGAACGGAAGCTCCAAAGGGAGGGCCTCCTGAGAGACGCTCCTGGGAAGCCTTGAAGGGTCTCCAGGGCAGCTCTCGAGGGGCTTTGAACAGCTCCATGGTAGACTCAAGAAAGGCTCTGGAGGGCTTCAGGAGAAGCTCCTGATCATATCTTGGGGGCCTTCCCCCGCTCGGCCAGGGCCTCATCAAAAGCTCATGAGAAGCTCTGACGGGGGCCTCGAGAGGCTCTCGAGAAGCTCTGGCGTGCCTTGTGAGAGGATCCTGAGAGGATTCTTCAAGGCCTCTGGACGGCCTCCTGAGAGATTCTGAAAAGCTTCCAGGGAGGCAATCAGGAGGCTCTGAAGGGATTCCTGGGAGGCTCTGGCGAGCGAGGCTCTTGGCATACGCGGAGCGACCTCGTCAGAAGTTATTGTGAAGCTATATGGTGCCTTACAATTCGATGTTGGGAGGCTCTGAAGGGCTTCCAGAGATGCTCATGACATGATCTGAAGGAGCTGCTGGGTGGCCCTGGAGAGGAGAGGCCATGGAGAGGCTCCGAGGGGCTTCGCGAGAGGCTCCTGAGATGCTCTTGAGATGATCTAAGAGGGCCTCCTGGGCAGGTCTCGAGAGTCTCAGAAAGGCTTTATGATCGATTCTTGAAGAGCTCTGGAGGGCACCGCGAGCTCTTGAGAATCTCTCGAGATACCCTCCTGACCGGTTACTCAGGGCTTACGCTCTGAATGAAGCCCCGAGGGGTTCTTGAAAAGCTCTGGCGTGCCTTCTGAGAGGATGTTGGGAAGTTCTGCAAGGCCCCTGGGAAGCCTACTGAGAGGCCCTGCCAAGTTTCCAGAGAGGCTCTTGGGCGGCCCTCAATGGGGTCCTGAGAGGCTCTCGAGAGGCTCTGGGCACGTGCTGAGTGACATCTTCAGAGGTTCTTGAGCGGTTCTCAAAGGCCTCACGATTTTCTCTTGAGAGGCTTTGAATGGCTTCATGAGGGGCTCAGAAGAGGCCCATCAAAGCCCCCCCTCTCCAAGGCCGCGTTGAAGCCGCCCCCGAGTCAGACACCCTGGCGGGCGTCCTGGTACGCTCTGAAGGGTCGCCTCAAATATTTTGAGAGCGTAACGAAAGGCTCTGAATCCCTCCCCCCGTCCCCGTGAGAAGCTCTGAGAGGGCATCATTGGAAGGCTCCTGAAAAAATGCTCATGAGAGGTGCTTGAGAGGCTCTCAAGGGCCTCATGAGAGGCTCCTGAGAGGCTCTGACGGGCCTCATAACATGTTATTGAAATTTCTGAAGGAGCTCTTGAGAGGAGATGCTCTGGAGGGGCTTTGCAGGGTGTCCTGAGAGGCTCTGGAGACGCTCCGAAGGGCCTCCTGAGAGGCTACTGAGACGCTCTTGAGGAGAGACTCGAACGGGCTTCATGCGAGGCCCTGTTGGGCCTCAGCCAAAGCTTCTGCGAGGCTCCTGAGAGCCATCTGAGAAGTTCTGCAGGGCCTCCTAATCAGCTCCCAGGAAGCTCTGAAAGCCGGCCTCCCCCTGAAGGGCTCTGACG